AATGCGGGTTGGCGATTTCAAAGTTATAGTTAGAAATTATAAGCACAGGTTTCCTCACGACGTTTTCCTTCACCGTTTGTCAGTGGTGTCTGAATAATCTTAGAAAGTACATATTATAATTCGGAAAAAGTCACATTGGTACTTGCCGTTGGTAGGTTTCGAGCCCGCACTCTCATGCATAAGAAGCAACACCCCGACACTAGACACGACATGACACGACAATAGTAGCCTAGCCGAGCGAGTAAAACCGCGCGAACATAGATAGTGGATATCATAAATCTGTTAATATGTATTTGGGCACAAAAAATGTGTAAACCCCCAATGACGTTGAAAACAATATTAAGTGATGATGACTCTGCAGTAAATAGAACTGATATTTTTTGTACTCTCAATACTTTAATACTAATATTATGGACATGAATGTAAAGTTGTCTGTTTGTTTGTTTTCTTCATATCAAAACAGAATATAGAAAAGTATAGCTATAGTATACCTATATGTATTTTTTATTATTGGAGTGCTGGAAACTATCATAGTGTCTTTTTCGTCGTGGTGGCCAGGAGGGTTCAAAATCTTCCAATGGCAAGTACCAATGTGACCATTTCCGAGTTATACGTACTTTCTGAGATTATTTAGACACCACTGACAAACGGTGAAAGAAAACATCGTGAGGAAACTGGCCATAGAATTTGTATTTGTAAGTTTGATGTTGTCAACTCGCAGTGAGCAAGCATGGTGATTAATGCTCAATCCTTCTCCGGGAGGCCTTCGGTCGGCTGTGGACACTTATAGGCTGTTTGTTTTTTTATGGCATAAGCCGGTAAACGAGCTGACGGATCTCCTGATGGTAAGCAATCAGCGTCGCCCATGGACACCTGAAACACCAGAGGCGTCACAAGTGCGTTACCGGCCTTTTGGGGATTAGGAGTTTGAGGATCGTTGGGGATTCAGGAATTGGGGACATTGGGGAAGGGGAGCGTTATTAATTGGGCCTCCGGTAACCTCACTCACACGACGAAACACAACGTAAACGTTGCTTCACGTCGGTTTTCTGCTCGGCCGTGGTATCACTCCGGTCGAGCCGGCCTATTCGTGCCGAAGCATTGTTCTCCCACACTTAAAAGGGAACTTGTTGAAGATGATGACGCTGAAAAGCGCCTTGAGTCACTTTCTAGTGTGAGAGGTTATTTAATTTTACTTGACTAACATTATTTTTACATAACGACAGTAGCAAAAACGGCCCACATGATTTGTAATGTAATCGAACATCAATAACAAATTGTTTTTTTCTACGAGCGAAGTCGAGTTCTGTTAATGATACATAGTTAACGCCAAGTTAATACGTAACGGTACGTAGCAATAACCTAATAGATAACTAAACTTAACTGAGTAATGTTTTTTATAACCGTCTGTCGTCTGAAAGGGGTTTTTTTAAGGGGGGAAAATCATCGAATGACTGCTCCCGCTTAGGTGAGGCGGGAGGGAGTGTCAGACTCTTACTGACTAAAAACCACCCCGTTCCTTCTCCTGCACGTCGAGCCGGAGCCCCGGTAACCCGTTAGGTTCTCCGCGACGTGGAATAAACGGATAATATTGTATGGTCATCAAGATTAGGAGTGTGTACCAAATATGATACCAAGATCGATCAGTCGTCGGGAAGGAGGTAAAATTCCAATTACTAGGCAGAAACAAACAAACTGCCTCGTTGACCGAGTGGTCGCAAGTGCGACTGCTGGGCAAGGGCTCTCGGGTTCGATTCCCAGGTCGGGCAAAGTATTACTAGGTTTTTAAAAAATCTCAGTAGTAGCACGGAGTCTGGAATTGTGCCCGGTATATGGCAATAGGCTGACCCCCTATTACATAGGAGTCATAACATAAATAGTGAAAAGTGGGTGTTACATTGTACAGTGGTTATGATGTTATGATGATGAAACAAACAAATAAACGGGTCATGCTAAAAACCATTTAATTTTTTTTTTTGTAAACTACTTTTAAAAAAACCGACCTCAACCCCTTTTTTTCTTGAAGTCGCTTTATTAATATACTTAAACCTTCTTCTGACTTTAACAAACACTTTTCTGATACCCACATCAAAATTAGTTCAGCCAATCAGGAGTAAATTGCGCACAAACATACATATACACTGGACACCCTGAGAACCTTCTTTGTTAGAAGTCTATTAAACTGTCAAACACCAAGCGGTCACCGGTGACCGCAGCCTATTGTTCTATAATTGTGTCTACAAAACCGGTACTCGACGAGTTAAAAAGCTCAAATAACGTGTTACTTAAAGTTACATTACAAAAGAGACCAAGACCTAATAACGTAAGATTGTCAGTTACAAACCGCAAGGGAACAGGTTCGGTTCCCTTTCACTATCTCCCAGTTAATTACCAGTACCTTGTTCGCTTAGGGAAAGGATTACACAACTAGATAACATGAGGTTTATGCTAATACTTTGGCTTACTTTCAAATTGGTAAAATGTATATTGGTATACAGTAAATAATATATTATGTTAGCTTGATTTTAAGTGTGGGAGAGCCATGCTTCGGCACGAATGGGCCGGCTCGACCGGAGTGATGCCACGGCCGAGCAGAAAGCTGACGTGAAGCAACTCTTGCGTTGTATTTCGTCGAGTGTTTCCTCTCATTCCCAAGCCCGGAATCCCCAACAATCCTCAAAACCCCTAGTCCTATGGTGTTGTGGTCCGTCTGCTCGTTTACCGGTTTATCCCATATCTTGGAATTCTAGACTTTATCTTCTGTACAATAAGAATCCAACTTAGCCGAACCCAAAACCTGATATTCAGGAGTAGCATTCACACCCACTACGAAACAAAGATCCGGGAACGCATCCGTGTTTAATTTAAACAAGATCATACGAATTTGAGCCCTATTTACAAGCGTTGAGGCGACATTTCCGCTTTTATGAATTATTCAGTAGCACGACCTACAACTATTATATTTATCGAGTTCAAGTACGTGAGGGATCGAGAGGTTAAATACTAAACTGGCTCGCAATAGACGTATAGAGGTTTTTGTATAAACCCTTCTTAAGTTTTCGGCTTACTCACGTAATTATTTGACGAGGAACTCGACTAGTTTCAAGTCAAGCCATGCTAGAGGCTCATATTCATGAGCAGCATTCCGCGACCCGCGACGCGGCGACTGTCGCGCTGCTACTGTCGAATTCCTCATCAAATAATTACGTGAGTAAGCCGGAAACATAATAATTCATTTAGTATGTCTCACGAAAGTAATAATACAAAACCCTTCTTGGTGGCTGAGTGATTGACAGGCAGCACACATCAGCCTATACACATTCCTACAAACATAACTATACGTGTGTCTCCCATGGGGGAATTTTTGTTTCATCACCATCATCAACAGCCTATAAGTGCCCCCTGCTGAGCAAAGCCTCTTTTTACACGGAGAAGGTTTGTGCATTAACCACCACGCTTGCTCAATGCGGATTGCCGATTTCATACTTATAATTAGAAATTATAAGCCCAGGCTTCCTCACGTTTTGTTTTCCTTCACCGTTTGTTAGTGATGTCTAAATGGTACATATGACTCGGAAAAAGTCACATTGGTACTTGCCGTTGGTAGGTTTGGAACCCGCTTCCTCATGCATGAGAAGTGGGCGTCTACCTCCAGACCACCACAACCTATTTTTTTTTTTGAGGGGGGAAATCATCCGATGACTTCAGACTCATACCGTCTAAAAACCACCCCATTCATACTCCTGCTCTTCGAACCGGAGCCCCGGCAACCCGTTAAGCCCTCCGCGGCTCCGAATCAGCTCCCAGGAGGGCTACAATTCTTACATAAACACAGCCTAAGTACCTACACTTATTAAAAAAACGTCGTATTTAAAAAAACCTACTTTGAACTCCGCTCTTTTGAAGACGGTTAATTCATAAACCTTCTCTTAAGTGTAACTTTCAGTTTTTTTAAAACCGCAACAAAATCGGTTCAGCCAATCGCCAGATAATCGCTATATGTGTTATTGCAGTATATGTATCGTATGTATATTCATATGCATGTAGTATAAAGCGGATATTTCAATATTAGGTACAAACAGACACTCCAATTCTATTTATCTGTACAGATAGACTAAACAAAATACTATTAAAATAAGATCCGGCAATACGCATCCGCATCGTCCCGCTGACCTCGTAACTTTAACGATTAATTAAGCAGCTAACAGCTGAAAGGGAAGGGTTCATAACAATTAAATATTGCAGATTTAAATGGCAGGTCTATTAAATGTAACAGCAAGTACCTGTATCTTACTAATATAATAAAGGCCTTGTTGGCCGTATGGTCTTAAGTGCGAGTGCCGGGCAAGGGGTCTCGGGTTACGGGGCCTGCAAAGTATTACTGGGTTTTTAAAAAAATGTCAATAGTAGCACAGAGTTTGGAATTGTGCCCGGTATATGGCAATAGTCTAACCCCCTATTACATGGGACTCATACAAAAGTGGGTGATTTCTTTTTATTGTTTTAAAAAATGTGTTACATTATACAGTGGCATTAAGTGCCGTAATGTGCACCTCTGCCATCCCCTTTTTACTCAAGTAAATATTTGACAAGGAACTCGACTAGTTTCAAGCTATGCTAGAGGCTCATATTCATGAGCAGCCTTTCGTTACCTGCGTCGCGGCGACTGTAGAGTAGCAGCGCGACAATAAGTAATATGTACTTCGCTCAAACTAAGTATGATATTTGTCAATTCTTTTTATAGGTATGATAGGCTGGTAAACGAGCAAACAGATCATCTGATGGTAAGCAATCAACGTCGCCTATGGACACTCATCATTCCAGAGGAGTTGCAAATGCGTTGCCACTTCAAAAAGTTTGAAAGTCGGGACCCAAGCGGTGCTTAAAACCAGTACGCTCGTGATATGCCATACGACAGTTTAATGCAAATAGTCTTCAACTCATTTACCTTCATTTTTTTAATTCTTCAAGTTGATGAAGCAGACCATTAAGTTACTTACCGATAGCTCGAGTCCGTCTTCTAGGTGTCGGTGGTCTCTTTAGACTTAGATCTACTGGCTCCAGCTGGATTGGAGGCCCACAAGCCTGTAACAAATGGAAAAAACTATTACTTCAGGTGATTCAACGTGTCAAAACAGTATATTAATTGGATTGCCACAAGGAGCAGCTCTTTGTATGAAGTGTGAGAGAGCCATGCTTCGGCACGAATGGGCCGGCTCGACCAGAGTCCACGGCCTAACAAAAAACTGACGTGAAACAACGCTTGCGTTGTGTTTCCTTGTGTGAGTGAGGTTACCGGAGGCCCAATAAAGCGCCCCCCTCTTTAATCTGCCCAATCCCCACCAATCCTTAAATTCCTAATCCCCAAAAGGCAGGCCAGGCACTTTGGCAAAGGGATTGATTTTCACTTTGGTAGGTTAACGTGGGTGAGACAAAACTGTTTTGCAGAAATAAAACCAGTGACTTCATTCCACCAGTGACTTCATTCCACCAGTGACTTAAGCGTGGGAGAGCCATGCTTCGGCACGAATGGGCCGTCTCGACCGGAGTGATACCACGGCCTCACAGAAAACCGACGTGAAGCAACGCTTGCATTGTGTTTCGTCGTGTGAGTAACGTTACCGGAGGCCTAATAACCCTTCCCTTCCCCAATCTCCCCAATTCCTGAATCCCCAACGATCCTCAAACTCCTAATCCCTAGAAGGCCGGTAACGCACTTGTAACGCCTCTGGTGTTCCAGGTGTCCATGGGCGACGCCGATTGCTTACCATCAGGCGATCCGTCTGCTCGTTTACCGGCTTATGCTATAAAAAAAAATTTCTATCATCTCTTCAGAGAACACAGAACATATTTCACTGCATACAAAGAAATATGAAACATACAAAGTGAATACAATCCCTTTACACTATAACATTAAAGTTCTTACATAAAGTAACACTACATAAAATAACAGTTCGGCATTGATCGTGGATCTTCGTGTGCGGTCGCTACTGTCGCGTCGCTTGCGCTTGCTGTGTTGCAAAGTGGGTGTGGTTTCAATATTGGCGGGAAGTTTGGAAAATAAGTAATTTTGTTGATATTGAATGATTAAAAGTGGGCACTTTGTAATTATTCACCTTCCTACATACTAACATAAACTTACATTTTTATCTCACAGGGATAAGCCGAAACTACAAAGAACCACCTATTATTACACTTATCTGGTTTTCATCTTAATATTTAATCATCATCAAGAGCCTATAAATACCCACTGCTGAACAAAACCTCTTCGCGCACGGAGAAGGATTGAGCATTAATCACCACGCTTGCTCAATGCGGGTAGGCGATTTCAAACTTATAATTAGATATTATAAGCCCATGTTTCCTTCATCGTTTGTCAGTGGTGTCTAAATAATCTTAAAAAGTACATATAAGTCAGAAAAATTCACGTTGGCCTTTGGTAAGTTTCGAACTCGCACTCTCATGCATAAGAAGCGGGCGTCTTGACCTCTGGAACGCCACGATATCTTTACTCGACTTAAAAATATAAGGACGTAGTTTTTCAATGAATGTTTAGTTTACAAATCGCTGTCAGTTAAACCACGCGTGCGAACATAGCGGCGCGCACGCATCAAGACCACGCCCCTTCATACTTGTGTAATGCAAAACATCACGATTTTATCAATCAGTGTAGGCGGTAATTATATTTTATTGATTACATTAACTAAAAAATATTAAACTAATAAACCTTACTTAATATACATAACTTCACGCCTTTTATCCCCGAAGGCGTAGGCAGAGGTGCACATTACGGCACTTAATGCCACTGTACAATGTAACACCCACTTTTCACTATTTTATGTTATGATATATTTATACCGGACACATTGCCAGATTCCGTGCTACAACTGAGATTTTTTTGAAAAACCCCAGTAATACTTTGCCCGACCCGGGAATCAAAAGACCCCTTGCCCGGCAGTCGTAATTGCTACCACTCGGCCAACGAGGCCAAAGGCCAAAAAATATTCATCCCATAATCTCATCACAATAACCTACATCTTCACCAGACCCTCAGGTGCTATTAGCGTGATATATCATTAGCAGAACGTCTTAACAACCTGAGAATAGATTGCAATGGTCGTGCGGGCGCGGCTCATTCCACAAGCGGATCTTGGCGCCATCATTAGGCTATCTACACACGTTACTTTATCTTCAAGCTCATGACAAAGACTTATGCCCGAATATTGAAACGACACTCAATTTTCAATCGCGCTTAACTATAGTTCTTTTTTTAGATTAATAGACCCAATGGAGGCTACCGTTTTTAAGCCCACCAGATGGAGCTAGAGTGACCTCGAGTTTTGCGTCAAATATGGAATTAGCTAGTTTTAAAGCTAAACGTCAAAATCATTTATTTCAATTAGACCTGCAGCCAAATGCCATTTAGCGCTTGTCTACTTGTAGAATAGAAAACCAAATTATATGGGATTGACGTAAATTTTGACACTTGTCAGTGTCATCCCCATACATTTAGTTTTCTACTCTCTCTGTAGACAAGCGCTATAGGGCGTTTGGCTAAAGGCACTTTTGAACGCCAAAACAAAATATAGAAATACCTATTACAAAAAAAATGACAGTCTGTCGGTCAGTCCTCTAGTTGCTCTATTTGCTCGTTCCAAAGTGATTTCCATGGAGAAGAACGAGCAAGAAACTCCATAGGTTACTGTGACTGTCACTCCATTCATCATAAATTTTTTGATAACTACAGTGATTGGACAGACTGGTCTCTTGCTAAATTAGTGCCATGTAGTGTTAGAAAAACGGTAAACCCCATTAGTCAGTTGCCCAGAGCCAGTTGCCCAACCAGAAAGAAAGAAAGAAAGAAAGAAAGAAAAAGAACGTTTAGGTATTTCACGCCAAAAACAAGTGCCACGTACAGATAAATCATTCTATTAACAGGAACTGATGGATACATGTTCATGTCTCAAGTCTGCCGCGAAATGGGACCAGTTCAGCATCAACAATAATAAACAATCTGACGTCCACGGATTGTATGGTATCCAAAAACAAAGTACGATCTCCGGCCACCGTAAGCGCGGGCCTGCGGACGGCGAGCATGGGTGGCTCTCCGTCCGACCAGACCCAGACCCGAGCGTACGGCGCGTCGCGTTCCGCGCGTGCCTCAAAGAGCCATCAGACCACCACAGATCCCAACAGGGCCCGATGCCGATTCGGAGTCGCGGAGAACCTAACGGTTTACCGGGGCTCCGGCTCGACGTGCAGGAGAAGGAACGGGGTGGTTTTTAGTCAGTAAGAGTATGACCCTCCCTCCCGCCTCACCCAGGCTGGAGCAGTCATTCAATGAACTTAAAAATTTTCCCCCGTTAAAAAAAAATATCCAAAAACAAAGTAGCGTCATAAGCCCATGGATACTATAGTATCCAAAGCGACGAGTTGTGTTTAACTCCATCTAGTTTAAAATACGGTATTGTTTGGTGAGTTTTGACAAATTATCTATACAGCTGATGAAATAGTTCTATATTATTAGTATTTTGCGACGTCACGCGCGGTACGTGTGCCGTGTGCGGCTGGACGTTAGAGAGACAAACCTCGTGCGGGCCGGACGTTAGTGTGGTTACCAACCAACAGCCAATATTACTGGAAACAGGCACAATATGAATAATAATTTGCGTATGAAGTAAATAGTGAAATATCCGCAGCCGCGCCTAACCACGCCTGTAATACAGAGGAAACGGCGATTTTCTACAACTGCCCTCTATAATCAGACAGAGGAAAATCATAATTTAACATTTCTTGCATAAATATCACGTTTGTTGGTCGCGTAAACCTAGCATATCAAAGTATCTATAGGTAAACTGTGTTATCCTATTCCATAATACCTCATCGTTCGCTTAAAAATTTACGTATAAAAGTTCTTCCTGGTAACCCATCTGCAGAAATAAATTCACTTATTTCACTTGCATATAAAAAAAGCGTTTTTTATCAATGTTATACACTTGTTTTAAGATGGGAAACTCATCCAATGGCATCTCCCGCCTTGAGTGAGGTAAGAAAGACTGTCAGACTCTTACTGACTAAACACCACACCCTTCCCTACTCCTGCTTCGAGCCAGAGCCCCGGCAACCCATTAAGTCTTTCGCGGCTCCGTATCGGGCATCAACCCTACTGGATCCCATCTGTGGTGGTCTGGTGTGGCGTAGAATTTTCAAGTTAATCCCTAGTATGCTGGGGACGTACATATACGCGAGACACTTATGTGTTTTCTATTGTCTCACATACCGGCAGATAAGGGGTTAATAGGCCTTAACACAATATTATAGTCATCTTGAGAATTGACACCATCCCCACATATGATTTGAACATCACAGATAGCAGTTAAACGAAATATTGAGAAATCGGATGCTGATTAAAGGTTATCTCGGTATTTCTTAATTAAGGGTCTTCTTAAATAAGAAGGGTAAGGGGGGAAAATCATCGAATGATTGCTCCGCCTGGGTGAGGCGGGAGGGAGTGTCAGACTTTTACTGACTAAAAACCACCCCGTTCCTTCTTCTGGACGTCGAGCCGGAGCCCCGGTTACCCGTTAGGTTCTCCGCGTTAGGTACCCTCATGGGTCACATCTACACACTTGATAGGCAGGTTGGGATATAGGATATATCAAGGTTCAAAATCAAATCAAAACTTTTTATTCCATTTTTTACCGATTTCAAAGACATGAGGATCTCAGTTTGACCTGTATGTACATATGTATGATTGTGTAATATTATCTCGTGTTTGGTTGAACCGATTTTTGCTGTTTTCAGAAAAGTGTTTGTTACTCTTTTTTAGTGATTTTGGTTTTAGGTTTATATCACTATATATAGAAGTGCTATATATAGTGATATAAACCTCTAAAAATAAAACGAAGACTTTAGCAATACTGAATTCTTAATAGGTAAGCAAATTAAAATTATACTGCCTGCCTCGTTGGCCGAATGGTCGCAAGTGCGATTGCCGGGCAATGGGTCTCGGGTTCGTTTCCCGGTTGGGCAAAGTAATACTGGATTTAAAAAAAAATCTCAGTAGTAGCACGGAATCTGGAATT